TCTCCTTGGATGTTCTCTCCAAGTATCCAATGGTACCTGCACTAACAGGGTGAACTGGAGTCATTCCTGGTTTGTAGACTTTACCCATCTAACCCCTCACCCCACCCCTGTACTCACCATGACAGCCTATCAATTCTCTCCAGGACTAACATCAGCTAAAAGAAATAACTGGTGCTCACATTTTCATGCTGCACCTTTCTTTGCCACAGCTCACTTCTAGTAGACTCTAGGGCACTCTCCAGCTATTGCAACCTGTCAAATTCCCGCTGTCAGACTGAGGCAGCCGGGCAATATTTAATTCTTATCAGTTTACTTTTGTTTGCTAGTATCTCTCAAGCACTGAGCCTTTGATCATCTCACTGCTTTTGCATGTTACATGCTGGGGTTGAAAATGTTTACCAAACACCTGAAAAGCAAGCACAAACAGGCTGTAGTGCTGCTCTGTGTGCTATCCTCTCATGCTAGCTCCTAGGAAAATCACAGGGAAAGGAGATTCAAGGATGAGTTCAGATGACAGACTACAGGAACACGGAGGGTCTGTGAACTGAGATCTGCTGTGTGACAATTCATAACGAAGCGGAAGATCAGAAAACACGGACAGAGACGTTATTCCTTCTAAGAATAGCCTACGGAGGGTGGGACCCAGGAAACTCACTTATTTCTTGTCACAAAACATAGCAGGTCTTGATAATGTACGCTGAAAAGGTAGGAAAGGAGAAGAAAGGGGAACCTCGAAATTCCCATGTAACAGGTTATATACCAAATGGTGATTTGAAAACAAAAGGAGGGGGAGGGATAACAAACAGAGAAACCTGTCCTGTGCACGGATTGTTCTGCTCTAAGTTGAAACATAGCCGGAATTGTGCTTGCACAATTCTGGATTCCATGGTGTACCTGCAGAAATAAAAACAAGCTGGCTCTAGACAAAGCCAGAGTGCAGTATACCTGAGACTAACTGAAGGCCCAAACACCGACCTAGCCTGAAAAGATCACTCTACTTGCTCACGACTCCCTTCTGTTTTACTTCAACTAGTTATTTGGCAGCAGCCGCTCTTAGGACACCGGATGGAGCAGATTCCGCGGCGGCCTCACGCGGAATGGACCCTAGGCTTGCCTCCTGGGGTGACAGAGGTAACAGTGCTAGCCGCCTCCGGGATGGGTATGCTGACCCGCCGTCCTCCGCGGCGTCATCCCTGCGTGACCTTTCTCCCAGAACGCCGTGACCTCGGCGGCAAACCGCCGTCCCCTGTCCCGGGCCGCCGGGCGGCAGCGCCCACAGCCCGTCCGCTCCTCGGAGCTCCGCCCGCGCGGCCCGCCGGGAGCCCCACTCGGCGGGCCAGGCTGGCTCCCGCGGCGCCCCGGGCCGCCGCCACCTCCCGCGGACGCCGAGGTGACTCACCAGCGTCAGCGCCGCCCGCGTGGCCTGCAGCTTCCTCTTGCTCACGGCCCGCACTGTGGCGCGGACCAACGACGCCGACATGTCCACGTCGCGGCGCCCGCAGGCTCGGGCCGGAGCGTGATAGCTCAGCCTCTCTCCATGGACACGGCTGGCGCTTTGACGCCACAAGCTCCGGCGCAGGCGCCACAGGCCCCGCCTCCGCGCAGCCTGCCCCGCGCCGCCATTGGACAGCCGGGTGAGTGACGGGCTGGGCTGCATCGTCGTCATCGCTGACGAAGCGCGGGCGGTGACCTGTGACCTTGCGGGCTTCGCGGTCACTGTGCTACCGGAAGTGGAATGGCTCCCTCCGCACGGCGCCCCCTAACGGGACGCTCCGGAACTGAAGACAGTACGCCCGAGCTCCACTCCAGCCTGCAGCCGCTCGGACAGTAAAACAAGCGGATTAAGACACTCTGCGACAGGCTTCCCGTTCTCGTGTAGCATGAAAACTGAGCATGTGACCTACCAGCCACGCGACTGACGAGGACGAAAACAGTGTGTCCTGGGCGCTTTGTTGGAACCAGTTCCTGTAGGCGGTTTCCATTTGATTAGCAGCACGCACCGTAAACACGCCTCAGCTTCCTTTTGGGCTTGTGAGATGAGCTTTCATGATGCTGTAAAAACAGGAACTCCTTTATCTCGGGGCAGCAGCTGCCCTGGCGCTGGCATTGGGTGGGCGTGGAGAGTACTGAAGGAGTTCGCTGGCTCGAACCACCCCAGGGTTCCAGGAAGGCTGAGGGAGGGAAATGTTTGTAACTGCACTTCAGGATTCAGCCTTGGGTAACAAGTGCTTTCCCAGTGCGGTCTCACTGATCTGAGTAGAAGGGGCAGTTTCCTTTTAAAGGATGGAAACCAGACGGCCCACTCTAAGGGGGCTTTGCCAATAAGATGTTATACATGGCTGCTGCCTAGACGTGCCCAGGAGCAAAGAGCGGGTACACCATGTTTGGCCTGTATTTCTAATGTCTGTAACTGTGAACGACACTCACTCACTGATCTGTCTTGCAAGGGTTTTGTTCCACTTGGGAAGTCCCCCCGCCCCCACCTTTGAAGCAAAAGACAAAATAGACTGATTTTTTTTTACCGTGACACTTGCCAAAGCTGTCCAAAGTGAGCAAGACACTGCTAAAAAATGATGGAGTTTTCAGGACTCCTGCTGTAAAAACTGGATTCTCAGTCTCTGTTGTTTTAGAAAGAACACAGCAGCAGGCACTGAGATCACTTGTAAAGATAGCTTTGGAGGGGCTGGGGCTGTGGGGAGCTGGTGCTTAGAGCCCCATTCTCTCATCTTCTGGTAAACATGCTTCATTGATTGTCCCATGGTCTGTCTCACTGTAAGCCATCAAAACCCCAACCTGCTGGACAGAATTTAAGAATCAAAACAAAATGTAGGAAACCTTTGTAAGGATAGAAGAAAACATGGCAATTCTGTTTCCTAATTTTAGGGATAAGTTAAAACACACCCTAAAAAACCAAAACCAACAAAAAACCCAAGTAGAAAATAACTTCCAGGGATAAATGTTAGTCTGGCCACATATTTCTTTTCTGCTTTAAGGGCAGACAGACAACACAAGAGCTTTTCCAGGAAGGTGTGGCTGTTCAGGCCAGAGTGGCATGCTGCCAGTTCACAGCCAGAGACTAGGAACAACAGCTCAGCAGTCACGTAGCAGGCAGCTGGGTAGCACAACTTATGTGTTTGATGGTCACCGTTTTTATTTCCCATGATTTCCAAATTCTCACAGACTTCGTTTGGCATGACTCTTCTGTAGTTAGAATGTGAACAGAAGTGTGCATACAAGCACCTTCCAAGTCCTCCAGTTCTGGGGTGTCCTCAGCAAGCTCTCTCAGCCCCTTAGGCTCCTGCGCCTGCAGCTCAGACTCAGCACACAGCTACCAACAACCCAGTCCATGTCAAAGGGGCACCTCATAGGCATCACATGAAGGACATCTGTACTGTCCCAGATCCTTCATTGATTTTTCTAATGAGGCTTCTTTTATAAGAAAATAATGTAGATAAAATTACAGGTTGAAAGTTCGATTTTATTTTAAAATGATAAATAAACTGAGGCATAGTTCTGACTATGTACTATTTCAGAAAGGCTTGTGAAGTTAGAGAAACAGTTCAGAGAGGGCTCCAGTCAGACCCATAAGGATGCCAATCAAACTTGTGACTGGCAGAGACAGCAGCCTCTTTGATCTTCAGGTTTGTAAAAGTTCCCCACCCTAATTTCTGAGTATCATAAAAAGTAAAAAGCACTTTTATTGTCATTTTCCCCTTGAAAATTTCTTTTTTAAGACCAGCAAATGGGACTTACTTGTTTTCATGACTTCATTTTTATGAGCACAACAATTCTGTGTCAATTTACTTAGAGAAGGAAGCCCCAGAGATAAGTCAGTGGAACTGCAGTCCACTGAGGCCCACACTGATAGGTGCCTGCATTGTGTTATCACTTCTACAAGAACCATGAGTAATGCTGGTAGACCCTAACTACAGCAGGATAGTCCACACATATTTGATGTGCATCCACACCAGGATCCAGCAAGAGATAGAATCCCCTCTTGGAAATCAAAAGGGATGCCTAGAGAAGGGAGGGCTAATTCCTCCCGTGAACAGCACACTATTTTTAGTGTGCTTTGAAAGAATTAAAAACCATGACGCTGTAGTCATTGAATACTGGCCCACAGTTATATTTTTTTCTTTGAAGTTGGCTTAAATACATCATGGCTTTCTATTAAAATCTTCAAATCTCTGGGGATTGATGTTAAGACTGTATTAAAAGTTTCTTTTCCTCATTAACAATTTCATTAAAACTTTAAAAATTCCAACATCTCCCTCAACTGTTAAGCCTGATCTGTGTTCCTATGTCCTGTGAAGTGAACCTAATTTTCCAAGTGGACAGGGACGCTGCAGTGGCCATTTCCAGGGCTGCATTTCCTTCCCTCATGATTCTTGCTGGGTCCTCTTCACTGAGGCTTTCCCCTGAGTCATATATTTACTGGAAAGGCTACCTAGGAGGGAAAACAAAATCCAACATAAATGAAAGGAACCTTACTTGATCAAAGTCACACAATCTTATCAGTTACTCACAGAAGTGTGTTCCACTAGAAAGGGCACTTGTCCTGGGTCAAGTGGTTAAGCAAGCTAGACATAAACAAGTGCAGACAGGCATTAGACCGTGCTAGTCGCTGCTTCCTGGGTGCTGACAAGTCCCTGCAGTGAGGCTGTTTAATGCAGCTTCAGGCTGTGTTCCCAGGCTGGCGCTGAGGGTGGAGGAAACCAATGCTTTGAAAGTTCTTTACTTTAAAGATTAAAGGCACACGTCTTTAATCCCAGTACTTGAGAGGCAGAGCCAGGAGGATCTCTGTGAGTTCAAGGCCAGCCTGGTCTACAGAGTGAGATCCAGGACAGGCACCAAAACTACACAGAGAAACCCTGTCTCCAAAAAGAAAAACAAAAAGGAAGAAGAAAAGAGGAGGAAGCTCTTTACAAAGGCCATTCTTTTCGTTTGCAACCAAACAGATGGCAAAGCGCTCTCTGGCCAGAAATTAGTATCTCACACCGTTACCTTTAGAAGTCTAGTCACACTTTATGGATGTACAAGGAGAAAATAAAAGTCACTGTTCTTACGGTGAAGGACAGGAATGAGAATGAATTAGTAGTGAAGCAAGCCACACATTACCACAGTTACTGTGTTCTGGAGGCTGAACACATAAATGAACTAGGCTAGAGAGCTGAGAACTTGAGAGAACCAGTGTAACCACTACTGTATAATGAGGGCACTATCAAACGAATGAGAGAATACAAAGTATTTAGCAACTGGTATTATCATGTCAACTACTTTGTTTTAGTTTTTTGTTTGTTTGATGGCCTAGAACTCATGGAGATTTGCCTGCCTCTGAGTGCTGGGATTAAAGGACTACGCCGCTGCCACCACCACCACACCTGGCTCAAATACATAATTTTTGAAGGGTAGAAGGAAGCTAGCTTCCTTTTTTAAACTGCCCCTCTTGTCACTCTTTTCCAAATGGATCCCAGAATTAAATGTCAGTAAAAGAAAGTCAAAGTATAAGCAGTAGTGCATGTTTTCAAAGGCATGGACACAGTTTTCCTAAAGAAAAAGCAATATATATAGAAGAAAACACACCTTTGTGTGCTTAACCCCACTGTCAACTTGGCCAGATTTAGAAGCACTCAGGAGACACACTTGGGTGTGTTTGGGAGGGGGAGACTTAACTGAAGGAAGCCCCACCATAAACGCTGGTGGTATTGGAGTTGACACACACTTCAAGACGGAAGTGTGAGAATGTCTCTTAAGAAATGGCTCTGCACACTGTGTTCCCACCGTGAACTCAACTCTATGGACAGAACTGTAACTCTCTTCCCATGGCCCGTGCATGACACTCACGGCAATGGGGAAGCAGACGAAATGCTGACATCTGTGGCAGTGGGAATACCTCTAAGTCCCAATTTTTTGAGGAATTCCACTGACATGTGAATCATCATTAAAAATCATTTTCTGTGACATGCCATTATTTGATTTTGGGTCACATAATTAACAATTAATTCAGGTAACTGAGTGGCACTGTTGTAAAAATACATCTCCTGCCTGCGGTGGTGGTGGTGGTGGTGGTGGTGGTGGTGGTGGTGCACACCTTTAATCCCAATATTTGGGAAGCAGCGGCAGGTGGATCTCTGAGTTCGAGGCCAGCCTGGTCTACACAGAGAAACTCTGTCTCAGAAAGCCAGGAAGCAAACAAACAAAAAACCCTTCCATTTCTAACCTCTTAAGCAGTGCAACTCTCTCACAGGAGTTGCCTAAGATCATCAGAAAACACAGATATTTGTATGATTCATAACAGTAGCAAAATTACAGTTATGAAGTAACAACAAAATAATTTTATGGTTGGGGTCACCACAACATAAGGAACTGTATTAAAAGGTCACAGCATTAGGAAGGTTGAGAACCAGTACTCTTAAGTATTTCTATTGCTTCTCATTTGCTGTCATTAAGACTATTAAAATTTCTCAGTGTTTACAAACCAAAGACAAGGAATACTTCGCTCGCACACATGTGGAGTAAGGCTTATCTAAAGATAAGAGGAAGTATCCTATCTTGTTATTTGAAAGTCATTTTTTTTTTCAGAGACAGTGTTTCTCTGTGTAGCTTTGTGCCTTTCCTGGAACTTGCTTTGTAGACCAGGCTGGCCTCGAACTCACAGAGATCTGCCTGGCTCTGCCTCCCGAGTGCTGGGATTAAAGGCGTGCGCCACCACCACCCGGCTTGAAAGTCATTTTTAGTAAGTGCATGAAATGTAAGTTTTAATCAAATTTTGTAACATTTATTTTGACCACTTACATAGTCAAAATAAAAAAGCGTAACATAGAGGTAATTTTTGTAGCTTGAGATTTAATAAAAAGTTTTAAAATCTAATTTATAAATGTTTTGTTGTAGTTAAGTATGTCAGGGTGGTCAACAGGGACTATTAATATATTCACACACGAGGGTCTCAAGAGATATCTATAAAAAGAGTGATCTACCACAAGCTTTTTCTTTATCCCATTTTAATCCCGTGGTTTGAGTTTTTAAAATCAGACATTTTAAGAGATTGGTAGTTTTCTCTCCTCCTTCATGTTTTGTATATTCATACAACTTTATCACTGGACAGAATTTTAAAGCCCAGTGGAAACAAACAAACCCTATGTTGTGTGTGTCGTCTCCCCCCACCCCGTGTGTATGTATGATAAAGTTTCATGTTTATACATGTTCATGTGTGTTTGGACACATTGTGTATGTGTGTATCCACATATGGAGACAGGTTGACATTGGGTACCTTCCTCCAGATGTTTATACTCAAAATATTGAATTGAGAGGCAGGTTTGGTTAGCTATCCAGCTTGTTCGGGGGCTTCCTTCCCTCTGCCTCCTGTGTGATGGATTACAAGCAGGCTGCCACATTCACTTAGCAGTTACATGGATGCAAGGATCCAAACTCTGGTCCTCATGATTAAATGCAAGCCTTTTACTCACGGATCCATCTCCCAGCCCCACCAATGGTCTTTATGATCATTTAAAATAACAACATTTGCTGAGACATGACATCTGAAACAGAAATGCATCTGTTTCCCAAGACTAGCAAAGTCAAAGAGCACATCAACTAAGGGAGCAACGAGTAGGTCAAAGGCACAGTCTACAAAGGGGTTCAGGGGAAATTACATCTACCTTCAACAGAAACACAGTTCACATGTTAACAACATCATTTACACCTGCACGTGACAGGTAAGTCTGGCAGCTGTCATTAACTTACTTCATGAGTTATTTTATGGGAAAGGACAAATCTTAGCCATCTATAATTTTTTTCTAGTAGAAAGCAGAATACAATTTATAATAAAACTTCCCCATAATAAATTTAAGTTAGTAAGTTTTTCAGTTACAGGATTTTTACCCAGAAAAATAACTAATAACTTCTTTATAAGTAAATAAATGCCAGTTGGCCACGCCATTTCTAGATATATAACTAACATCTGCAGTTTTCTTCCACTGTTTCAAAACTTGCAAAATTATAGTAAAATTCTACTTTTAAGATATGTAAACCCATACGCCAAGCAATGCTGATACGTGTAGACCTGGGGATAGTGTGGGAATAAGGTCAGTGAAGTCACAACCACCAGGATCCTTTTCTCTAACTCACACACACAGCTGTTCACACTGTTTGCACATGGGCTCCTCGGCAGCCTTAGCAGTCAGATATTAGCCTCTTGGTTTGTAGCTGAGAGATCTGAGATATGTGCAGGACACGCAGCATCCCGAGCAAATGAAGGGAAACCAGACCTATGCAATAAACTGCAGAACAGATGTTTATACTCTGTGTTCCTTTATAAGCCTAGCATCAAGAACATCAGTATTTTTCTTATGTAAAATGTTTTGGGAATATCTGTTCAGGGTCAAAGTTACTTAAAATAACATTCTTTTGGTCTGTTTATACATGGTACATCAGTGATTTTCAAACTTCTAGATCTATGGGAGAAATATCCCATTGACTGGTGGTGTCTGTTGTCCATACCCTTCCAGAATGCTAGGCAGTCAGCATGGTTATAATACAGCCCATTTCTCTTCCTCACCCATCATCAGCTTAACTGCAGGGGACCACCATTCCCCTTTCACTTCTGTCTACTGAATTTGGAGAGTACCCAACAGAACTCTTATTTTGAAATGATGTGTTCCATGTAGAAAAATTACAAATCTTCTGAGAACTACTGGAGCTCATGTTCTTAAGCCGCCTCCTGCTTATCTGTCACGTAAAATGTTCTCCTTCAGGTCTAAGTGCAGTTAAGATTTGAAGATTTCCGTTTCTTTTAAATTATCTGCCCTTATTCTACACATCAACCTCAACTCCACAAACTTTAAATTTTGTGTAAAGAGATCTGATACCATGGCCAGGGATGTCACGTAGACAGTGGACTGCTTGCCTACCACTCATGAAGCATTGCATGGCGTGGCCCAACCTCAGCTACACAGTCAATTTAAAGCCAGCCTTGGCTACATCAGATACTAGCTCAAAAAAAAAAAAAAAAAAAAAAAAAAGAGGATCCGGTATAATTTCAACATTTCCCCTCACCCTCTAAAAAAAAGGTAAAGTGATTGCAAATATTTGAGATAACACTTGGTACTGAAAAAAAAACTTGAGTCAAATGTTAACAGTTCCACAATTTTTTCCCCCCTCTAACAGCATTCACAGTAGAAATAATAGACACTCCTAACCCAAAGCTTCTTCAACTTTCCCAGAGTGTGGTCAGTATCCTTGCCTTGACGAAAGAGGCTGGAAAGATCAGAAAAGGCAGCTCATCCTTCTGAGGAGCCAGGGAATCTGTTATGGTCTGATCTCAGCTAAGACTTCTCGTTCTACCACATTTTATCCAAGCTAAAAAAAATTCAACACTTTGTTCCTAGCATTAGGATGTCATTCCAAGACTCCCTAATGGATGCCTGAAACTGAAGCTATCTACATGTTCTGTTGTACCTGTAAACATATAAACTGTTCTATATGTTCTGAGCTTATTCTTACATACCCATTCTGTGACAGAGTCTAATGCATAAAAGAGATTACTGTTAACTGAATGAGACACTGCTGTAGTAAAAATTACATAAGTGTTATTTTTTAAAATTTCATTTTCTGGGGCTGGTGATGGCTCACCAGTTAAGAGCATTTGTTGCTCCAGCAGGAAACCAGGTTTGAATCCCAGCATCTACATGGTAGCTTCGGACCATCTGTAACTCTAATTCCAGGGGATTTGACACCCTCTTCTGGCCTCCAGACACCATGTACATATGAGGCACATGCAGGCAAAACACTCATATACATAAAAAAGACCCCCCATTCTTTTTTTTAAATAAAAAATGCAAGAACTTGGCCGGGCGGTGGTGGTACACGCCTTTAATCCCAGCACTCGGGAGGCAGAGGCAGGTGGATCTTTGTGAGTTCGAGGCCAGCCTGGGCTACAGAGCGAGATCCAGGAAAAAGGCGCAAAGCTACACAGAGAAACCCTGTCTCAAAAAACCAAAAAAAAAAAAAAAAAAAAAAAAAAAAAATGCAAGAACTTAAAAGGGACTGATGGTTCATGCTCCTCGTTCTTAATATTCCTCCTTTAGCCTTCTTTTAAAGAGGTAAAAAGGGATCAGGATGGATTGATTAAGTAAGGCTACTTAGGCTAGGACTCTTTTGTTTACACTGTGTTTTGTCATTTCCTATAATAATGCTGAAAAAGTCACTTTTTTTTCCTTCACCTCAATCTTGTCCCTTTTTTCCCCCCCAAGACTTAGAAGAACACCTGAAATACCAGGAAAGACCTTCTTGCCATGGTAGTCCACCATGTTCTCTTTGGCATCCCTCCACAGGCCTGGGACATGGCAGGAGGAGGGCTCTCCCTTGATACCACAGTCAAGGCGAAGCAGGCTCCAATTCCTTTCCATGCAGTTCTGAACCTTCTTACCAAAGAAAAAGCTCTTTACAAAGGCTTCAGTGAGCCCAGGTGCCAAGCCCAATGCTGAACTCAGCCTCCACAGAGAACTTTGAGCAGCACTTCACAAATCACCCTGAGACCCAACTCTGGCTCCTTCCACTCCTTCTTTAGTCATCTCTCTCTCTGTCTTCTTTATTTCCAGGGTCTACACACTCCCATTGTTCCATGTCCCCAGCACAGGGGCTTAAAATGCTATCTCCACGCTGACAACACTACACTCCTTTCTGCAGCCTGGACCCACTAAATGCCAGGCTCAAATATTCAACTGGCCACTTGACATCCCTGCCCTAGAATTCCACAGCTACCGCTATAAAACAGACCTCAGTTTCTCCTTCCAACTTTTCCCAGCACAATAAAGTTCTCCTTTATTCTTCCAGTTCTCAAAGACTGTTGTGACATCTGAGCCTCACTGTATTTTCACGTCAGTGCACAGTACATCGATTTGTTGGTGTTACCTTCAGAATATCCACACCCAACCATCTTCTCCGACACTCCACCCAGGCCTGCGCCATCACCTCTACTTAACTACGATGGTAAATACTTTAGTGGCTGCAGTGTTCCCATCCTAGCCTTTTACAAGACTTCAAATAGCACCATTCCTCTAGTTAGGTCTCCAGCAGCTTCCCATCTCACTTAGATCTTAAAAAACCTTCAGTCCCTCCATCACTGCTGGAGCGTCAGGATACTAGGCTCATCTTCTCTGATGTCATCTCCCATTGCTCTCCTGAGCTCACACCACTCCTGGCAGTCTCAGGCTGAAGGGCAGGACCTGCTAACAGTTAAATGTCTATCTCCTCTCCACCTGACCCTCACTTTCTACAACTCAGCTGACTTGAGATAATATTTTATTAGAGGGGATACTGCCATACTCAGCATCACTTTGTGATTCCCCGCTTAAAGCATCTGTTGCCACATGGTTGTCCTTTATTGTTGTCTGTCCCTGACAAGAATATAGAGGGGGGGCTTTGCTACTCATTGGGGTGTATTCAGTGCTGAGGCCGTGCCCTGCAGTTAGAGTCTCAATAGATATTTACTGAAAGGATACATAAATGAAATAGTTGTCTAGTTGCAGAGTGGAGGGTTCAAGTTATTTTCTTTCCTTCTTCTAGAATATGGCAGATAATCTCCACAAGGAGAACAGTGACAGCAAAACAATAGCAACTCCACAGCAGTCACAAAAAGTCACAAAGAAAGGATTCCATGGTTGAGGGTAGCAATTCTTTCCCAGAAAATCTGAAAACTATACAGGTTGCACTTACCCATTGAACAATCAGATTAAGGATGTAACGTGGAAGCAAGGCAAGAAGGGTTTTGTTTTTTGTTGTTGTTGTTGTTTTTGTTTTTTAAGCTCCCTTGAGAGGTTCTGATATCCCTCTGTCAGAACCACAAGGTAAAGGAAGAGTCTCAAAAGGCATGTGGTAAAATATTCAGAGAAGAAAAACAACATATATCTGATCCTTTAAAAACCACATACCTGACTGGGGACTCAAAAATATGGTTGTTTTTTGTTTCTTTTTGTCTTCATGTAAAAGCACTGCCTAAAAAATGAAATAGACTGGTTTACAAAAACTGAAGGTAAAAGCAACAGAAACAGTCTCAAACTGTATCCAAGAGCTGGAATTAGGCATGTGGGTGTCAGAAGTTTGCATGTTAGTTGGAATGACAGACATGTATGCAGGAGTCATTCAGCAAGCCCCTGCTACCAGGGCCCACAAGCCTTACCACACAGTACATGGGGCGCAGAAGGGGTAAGCACACAGGCCAGCCAGGAGCTCCAAGCACTCCAGAAGACTCAGAGGAGTGAGCAGGACAGAGTGAACAGGGCTCCCTTCTCAGGTTTGGGCTGGCTTTTACCTGAGCCACTGGTCTCAAAGGGCTAGTTGAAGAGTATCCAGACACATAATCTGACTTACACAAACCTACAGAAGAAAGGAACACTTTTTGTTCCTATTTTAAATTGAAAGCAACAGCCCTGTTCGCGAACGTTTTAAGAATTCTCTGTTGATGTGATGGAATTCCATCCACATAGTCCACTGAAGGAATGACAGGGAAGAGCAGAACTTCGGGGACAGAAACATCTGATTATTTTAATTACCACCAAGTAGCATCTGTCACACTCTAGCCCCACTCGTCCCTTCTGCTCTTGTGTGCTGACTGTTGACATTAGTTGTAAACACTATATAGGCAGGTTTTCTAGACCCGGCTCTTCCTTAAGGCTGCTAATCCCTCTGCTAGCCAGGTGTCCTGTCAGGCTGCCAGAATCACCACTCTCACACTTGTGTGTATGCATGTATGTGCACATGCATATGTGTGGGGATGTGTACCTGTATCTGAGTTCATTCAAGAGCAGTCCATTCTGTTTTTTGGGGCAGGGTCTCTCACTGGGACTCCCTTAGTTAGGCTAAGCTAGCTGGTTAGTGAGCCGAAGGATCTGCCTGTCTCCCCCCCCCCCCCCCCCCCCCCCAAGCACAGGATTAAGCATCCACTACAGTGCCTTGCTTTTCATGTACACACTGGGAAGAGAACGCAGGTCTCTGTGCACTTTGCTAACCGAGCCATCTCCTTGGCCCCCCTCTAACGGTTTTGAGACATCCTGGCCACTGACTTTAAGCTTGCTACTAGACAAAGGGATGCACCTGACGGGGAGGTACAGGATGACTCTGCTGGAGAGGAGGAAAAGGGGACCACAAAGATCTGCTTCATCCTGTTTGTAAACATAGCCTTGAGTCTTTATCAAATACAGAGTATGAGTAATTTTGAGAAAACTATGTTAAACTGTATTTATATTGTCTAGTTTAACTAGGTTGAAGGAGGCTATTGAGCTAAATGAGATCTTTTTAACTATACTTAAATTTGAAATAATGCCTAATTGACCCTTGGTAGCATGTTGACTGCTAACATGTCATTATTTTAATTTCTTTAAGTCACATCTCCTTCTTATAAAGGAAAATCAAGGCAAGTGTTGGGATTATGTTCAGACCTCCTCAGGAGAACAGGGCTAACTCAGGCCGTGGGAGTCAGTCAAAGCTGCATCATTCATCCATATTCAAGCACTGCTTCAAATAAAAGAAAATGTTAAGACAAATTCTTTCCACATAAGGCTCCTTTAAAAAAATAAATAAGAACGAGCTGGGCATGGCAGCACATGCATGTGATCCCAGAACTCGGGAGGCAGGGGAATTCTGAGTTTGAAGCCAGCTGGGATACACCGAAAATTCTAGACCAGCTTTGACTACAACAGTGAGTCTCTGCCCCAAACCAAAGAAATGAAATAAATAAGTAAATGAATAAATAAATAACAAGAGGAGATCTAAAACTTCCAGTCTTAAACACTAAGAGAATCTGCCTGGCAGGCCTGGCATTGAAACCGGAAGAGCACATCAGTGCTCCTAGCACACGGGGTGTTTTGGAAGGAATTACAGGGCTGCCCTAACTAATATGCTCAGCAAATGGGCAGTAACAATTACTCTCAAGGGGCCCTTGTATGCTTATCCAATTTCACCCAGGCTTATTCTAAGAACCAGTACAGTCTATAAGTTGTTTTGAAGACCATAACTTACACAGGTTAAAGGTGCCTAGACTCTGTTAAAAAGGTGCCCATGATGGACACAACCTATTCCGTAAAAATTATCAACTCACATCCAACAACATAAAGTGTCAGTATTTGGGGGTAGTTTGATTTTGTGCTCAAGACAGGGTTATACTATGTTGCCCAGGCTGGTGTCACTCTCCTGGGCTAAGGTTACCGCCTGCTTCAGCCTATTAAGTAGCTTTGACTAGAGACATGGACCAGAAGATCTGTGGATGACTCTGAACTGTGGGCTGTTAAGATATTTCCCCCTTCATCCTAAGAATAACTATGGTCACCGACAGACAGGTATTTAAATAAGGGCTAAAGATGAAACCCTCCACAGCTCTCTGCAGACACGAACACTGTCAACATCCTTCTATTCTCTTTCCTGCTCATGTGCTCATATGAATGAAACATGAGCGGCTCATTTGTACATGGTTGGTGTCTTGAGATAACCAAGCTACTGCCTCACCAGTGTCTAGGCAGTGCTCTGACTCACAAGTACACACAGTGAGCAGCATGCCTCTCGCTGTAACTTGTTTACTGGCTACTGAGACTATGCTTATAAGGACTGAAGGCGAGCAAACTGCCATTTCATTGTTAATCTTAGACTTTCATAAGACTAAGTAAACCCAGTAATAAGCAGTTAAGTCATACAGAGGGTGAGAATTAAAGGTGTGTGTAGGGGGAGATGTCACTTCCTTACAGCATAATCTTTGCTGAGTGAATAAATTCTTTGAAGGAAAAAATACAAAATGTGAAAAACTCTAAGAGGTTAACATCCCGTAAGCATAGACATCAAGGTCTCTGAAGAGGTGTCTGTACCTGGAGAGCCTTTGAACTGTGGGCATTCCTTTTTAATGTGTCCTTCTCTTCCACAAATGAAACAACGTTTTTCTCTTAAGTCTTTGTCATCCTGTCTCTTCCATTTTTCCACTGGTGTCCTGAGAATCTTCTCCCGCCCCAGGTCTACAACTGCCCTCACCAGCTTTGATTTTGCAGCTGTGCACGGTGTGGGCTTATCTTCTTTTGTTGACACTTCCTTCTCTGTGTACTTGTTCTGAATTTCTTTGTCCTCTTTGCTTCTTTTTTCTTTGCTCTCAGAGTATCTTTGGTTTGGGGTATCTTCCTGGTCTCGCCGTCGCCTCACTCTATTGAAGATAAAATATAATAGGAAAAGTGCCTACAGGAACTTATCAAGATACGTCCAAATGCAGAGATAACCAGGACCAGAAAGTGTGAAAAGGAAACCTTGAATTAGACGATTATTACGATTTCTGCAGTTCTTCAGCATCCACAGGGGGTGGGTAACAGGTGGCCACTCAGAAATTCAAGCCCACAGTTGTCCAAGTCCTTACAGAAAATGGTGTGTATAAGCATAACCCACATACACCCTCTGACAGTTACACTGCACTGTGGAGTGAATAACAAGACACCCAAGTCTGTATATTTTCAACCCAGATGCACTATTTTCCAAACAGCCTGTCTGCAGTTGGCTGAATTTTCAAATGTGAAACCCTGGCACAGAGCCTATCTATTAACAGTGCTGCAAAGTTAGCGCTTACTGCTGAGAGTCTTGAGCACAGAGCCTGCCTCGATATCTATGTGATGACACTCAAATCACGCATGTGCTGTTGTGCTAATCAGCCTTTCTGATGTATTAGCTTTTACTAGGCAGTGAAAATTTGAACTGTAAAATTTGAATTTCACTGAAAAATTTAACAATGGTTTTAAGGAGGCTTATCTTAAAAAATGTCAGTCACTTTTCCCTTTATTTTTTTTTTTAGAAGTCATTTTATTTTATGTATACATATATGTGCCAAATATATGTAAGTGTCCACGGAGGCCCTGGAATTGGAGTTACAGGTGGTTGTGAGCACCATATGCAGGTGCTAGGAATGGAACTGGGGTCCTCCACATGAGCAGTGTGCTCTAACCACTGAGTCATCTTTTCAGAGATAACATCACACATAGCCCAGGATGGCTTCATATTTCCTTTGTAGCTGAGGCTGGCCTTGAACTCTCAGCTTCCCAAGTGCAAAAAGCACTGGTAAATGACATCTAGGTATCAAGATCATTTCTTTCTGCCCCACTGATGACTAGTCCTTAAGCTCCAGACTGTTACCTACTTTGAGTGTATCTGAAGTAAGAACAGCACTGTCCAGTTAAAACAATACCACTGGCAGCCGGGACAACGACCCAAGCAGACCACAGAAAATACCTCCCTGCCTCTCACCAACACATCAGGAGACAGCATGGTGCCCAAGCACCCGATCTACTGAAAGTAATCACTAATGATTAAACTAATTTAAAACCACATTTTAAGCTACACCCAGAAATTAGGGATGAGCACCTGGCCTGGAAGACGGTCATCTTCAAATGAGCCAGCCCTCAGCATTTGTACCCACAGTCACACTGGCATCATTTTGTTTTGAATTTTTAAAAAAAGATCTTAAATTTATCTGATAAAATGCTTGATTTCAGATGCTTATTTTCCCTGTATCAAAAGACCCACACTTAGAAACCAGTACAACAAGGAAATAAAAACAAGGCAACCCCTTCTGAACATGTGCTTACTTTCTCCTCATGGGACAGTCCTTCATGAAGTGTCCAATTTTTCCACAAATTCGGCAACACCTGTCATTCGGAGCCAGTTCTCCCTCAGTTAGGACATCCGGATCAAAAAAGTATTCCTGCAAGAACACAGCTGTGTAAAAGGAACTGTGAACAAGACCATGGCACACCATGCAACCAGTGGGAGAACAGGTTGGTATTTTAGTATTTGTACTGTTCATCCCAAACAAGATCTTAACATCAGTGAGAGGCACAGCTGATAGACTGACCTAAATACACACACACACACACACACACACACACACACACACACACACACACACACACGGCTTCAACACAAAAGGAGAAGCCAACTGCAATGAACTGAGAAACATAATCTACATTGTGCAAATTCTATACTAAGGCAAAGTAAACAGTTGCATGTTAGTACTGGTGCTGCTGTGTGGCTTCTTAAGAAAAAGAAACAGAAGGGCTGCTTCAGTGTCTGCTGCATCACACCTGCACACTTCCTGAACAAAGCACTCATTTGAACAGACTGTGCAGGAGAAGGAGTTCTTGAGCAAGCATGAGATGCACCACTGTAGATGTCCAGAGTAGTATCTGACATGAGCCCAGCAATGATATGCTAAAAGTACCTACATGCTCATATGTAGAAGTTGCATCAAAGTCTGTCTTCCTGGGTGGAGGAAGGAAATGGGAAGCTGTTGTTCAAAGGGGACAAAGTTCTGGACAGAGAGAAGGAATAGGTCTGGAGAGAGCTATTGCCAAGTAGGGGCTACAGTCAATAATACATATTTCAAAATAACTGCATATATTTCAAATGCCACACTATAAAATGACACAGAAGATAGATATGTTAATCAGCTTGACTCAGGCACTCCTTATTGCATACTTGGTGATTAAAATGTGCACCTTATTTGCTTTCTGGAATTTCTAAGAGAAACTCACCATTTTTGAGGGGTAGTCCTTTGGAAATCCTTTGACTGGAATTCCAAATACTCTTCTACCATTGATAAAAGCTTTCATTATAAAATTTGTCACTATAAAGAAAAAAGTAAGACTTCAATTACATGCATTAAGGGAACAAGAGGCTGCACCAAGTTTACCAACAAGATTAACTTACTTTTCCTTGATAATCCAGCACCAAGATTATGATTCAAATCAAAGGGATCTGAGTAAAGAAAAAGAGACAAAAAAGATAATAAAGTAGGATATGCCACCATCCGTCCCATAATCTAGGTCCACACAACAAGAAGAAAGCATTACTGCCTCTTTGCTTATTAGTAAGAGTTATGTACAGCTAAGCAACAGACAAACCTAAATATAAGCCAAGATCTCCCAAAAGCATTAATCAGAAAAGAGCATTGTGTAATCTTTATAAAGGTTGCCTACTTGGGGAAAAATTACTGAGGAAGACTCATTACCCAGGTGACTTAATGATGTCCATTTTGTGCTCACATTATAAGTCACAAATATAAATACATAAACCAGGAGTGGCAGTCTCTGCCTGTAATCTCAGCACATGGGAGGTAGAAGCAGGAAGACAGGAATTGGAGACAAGCCTGAGCTCTATAATTGTGTTCCAGGCCAATCTGAGCTAGAGACTGACACTGAGATGGTAAATATTGATTATCAATGGCCAGGGAGACAGTTCAGTGTGTAAAACACTTGTTGCACACTTGTCAAAAACTGTGAAAAGCCAGCTGCAGGAGCGGGCCTGATGAAAGGAGGAAGGTGTGACAGATGTGGCTGAGGGGACTGTTTCATACAGTAGTATTGAGCACTACTGAACCCAGGTATTATTTTATAGATGATTAAAAATACTAAATACACATTACTAATGATCTAGTCATCATATGAAGATAGATATCCTTTTCTTCCTGTCTAAGACAGTACTGAAAAAGGCAAAGGAAAAACCAAGTTGCCTCTTTTTAGAGCCCTCCATATGGACGTGAAGGACCACATATGCACAGCAGCACAGAAGGAGCCAGGGAGTGAAGCTCGGCACCAAGATTCTGCAGGCTTTGCTTCCAGCGGGCAAACACCACGCCAGGGACTACGACATCAGAACTGACTGTCAGCTGGAGCACAGAACCCTTCCTCTGGTATCCTCTCGTAATACGTGCGATGAGACTATCATCCTAGTCAGATCAGTGCTGCTCTCTTCTGTTGGGGTGTGTGTGTGTGTGCACAAGCGAGTGCGTGCGCATGTGCTGTATATGTATGCGTGAGTGTGTGTGCTGTATTTTGGTTGTTTGCTTGGTTATAAAAGGCAGACTGGCCGGGCGGTGGTGGCGCACGCCTTTAATCCCAGTACTCGGGAGGCAGAGGCAGGCGGATCTCTGTGAGTTCAAGGCCAGCCTGGTCTACAGAGCGAGATCCAGGAAAGGCGCAAAGCTACACAGAGAAACCCTGTCTCAAAAAACCAAAAAAAAAAAAAAAAAGGCAGACTGTACCTTAGTTACCATAGTGTTGAAATGATTGCTACTATGCCAGGCATGGTCTGCATGCCTCTAACTCCAGGGCTTGAGAAGCTGAGGCAGGACACCTCTGAGTTTTAGGTCCTCCTCTCAGGACTGAGATTATGGGCCAACACACTCAGTTCTGCCCTTTTTTTCTTTTTTAGTTCACTTAGTATGCTGAACAACAACAAAAGACATGGTAATATGAGAGGATCCCTTTCTCCACTAATTCTGCTTTGACAGAAGCATCCAAAATGCTAAATCCCCACCCACAGCCCAGGCTGAAGGTCACAGCCCTACATCCAACACTACCCAAAGAAATGAAGTAATTGTAAAGATTACCATCTAGATACCAGCTCATGGTAAGAAATGGATCCTATGAGACGAAGTAGACATTTCCTCAGCTATTTCTCAGCTCATTAAAGAATTTAACCTTTATTTTGTCTTTTTAAAAATTAAATTCCTACCAGTTAGAAACAATTAGCTATAAAAATCAATGGCTCCCATGGATTCAGTAGGGTGACCTGATCCAACTGCCTCAGCCTCCCAGGTGCTGGAGTCATAGGTTTGAGCACCAGGCCAGCTAGAAAAAGCCTCTCCCTTTCGTCAGCACTGACAAATCGTTACAAGAAAATTTTTTCCCCAAGAGTAGGCAAAGGTCCTAAAAATTCATTTCTAGTGGCATTCTCCAACCTTCAATAAAGTCTTAGTTTTATTTTAGTCTTAGGTTACTTTAACTTTATTAGAAAAAGGACACTTGCAAATACATAAAAACAACACACACCAAAATTAACCAGACCCAAAGTCTATACAACTCAATGAATCTCTATACGGTTAGAATAGGCATTCAAATCGGAAGCTGTGGAACTCCACATTAGTTTTTACACGCTAAGTATTAAATGTTTCATGCACTTACCTATGACAACCAAAAACATCCACAACAGAATCAGAAGTAGACAAACGATTCATTTTAGGTTTTCCACATCCCACTATCTCGAAGCTGCCTCATTTCTACTGCTGTCTTATTCTCCCACAGGAGTCCAGTATTAGTGAAAGGTTTATTTTTCTGAACAAAGACTTTTGGACTCATGAAAGGCCCCACCTGGAGGCATTATATATTTTAAAATGAACCTTGAGGGTGGTGTGGGCCACACCAGGGCTGCTGCACTGCACACTCTGGGCAGCAGCAGTTCAGTGACTGCCCCACAAAAGATGTGTTGCCACAAGAGCCAGGGCTCTTAGTTTAGACTCAGTGTTCAACTTGAAAGGCTCTGCAAATCACCCCTCACACATGCTAGGCCAGCAGCTCACTTCTAATTTGACTTTATTCATACCTTCAATAACGATGTATTTTGAGGTCCATTGTTTCTTAAAAGTTGTAAGCAGACCTTTTCTTCTGATGCTGATTACATGCTCCTTAAAATCAAACTCCTCTGTATAGAATCGGAGAAGTCCCAACCACAGCTGCCCAACAGATTCTGTATTTTTTCCATATTCTGGCCAACAAGTGGGCTAGAGACAGAAGGGGACAAGAGCTGTCACTCTATCATAAAGTGTTAACAATAGTATGCATTTGCACCCCAGGAGGAAAAACCTGGACTATCAACAGGCTTATATACACAAAAATGTAATTGTAAATTAATTGTGTAAGTTCTCATTCAACTTTTTGTTTTGTTTTGTTTTGTTTTTGGAGACAGAGTTTCACTATGTAGCCCTGGAACTCACTCTGTAGCCCAGGCTGGCCTTGAACTCACAGAGATCCACCTGGCCCTGCCTTGTAAGTGCTGGGGTTAAAGGCGTGCACCGCCACACCTGGCTTTTTTGTTTTAAAACATCATTTACATGAATCTACTGGCTTCTACTCTGACTAGGACGTAGACACGACTCAAGAGTTTAAATGGTGTATCTCAGAATGTGAAGGTGGAGAATCTACGAAGAAGCTTAAGAGCTGTGCAGTCAGCAGGACACACAGAACTACTCAGTGCACATCTAACACCAAGTCTTAGAAGAATCACACAACGAAGATGTGCTTGCTCCCTTGGAACAGTTACTACCAAGAGCCAGTGACAATGGTGAAGCCCCAGGGACAGTGCCTATAACTGCACTTAGCTTAATGAAAGGGACACTCGTGAATGCTAGCCTTCACTGTCACAACAGACAGATGTGACAACTCTACACCATGGTCATCTACAACATAGAACTGGACAACTTTTAGTCAAGGCTTAGGAAAATCTTTACCTTAAAATACTCACCAGTTCATCTATTTGATCAAAAAAGTAAATATTCCAGCCATCAACAAGTATTTCCGGTTTCTTTTCACCTTTGTATATCTGAAATTAATTTAAAAAGTATTAGTATAGAATGAAAAACTAATGCGTTGATAGCAAGACAACTAGGAAAAGTTAAAAGCTTAACTACAGAACTATAGCACATTAGCAGAGGCTCAGAGAAAGCCCAGTTTTGCAGAGGACACAGTCCCCTGTGGGTACCTCTTGAAGCACAGGGATGACAGGTGGAGACCTTTGCTGAAGGAAATATAGCACCATAAGAGTATACGCATAGGATGACAAGCTGCCTCTGGACGCATCACCGATGTCACACATCTAGAGGGAAGAGAAGACACTGTGAAGAGCAGCATGTCTACTCAGCCTGCAGTCACCCTATTACCACTACTTCATTGGAGGACCTAATACAAAATCACATTTTCAAAAGTGAAAAAGTCAACTAAAGCAACCAACTCAACTTAAATCAAACCGAACTCAAGAAAGTAGTGGACACACAGCAGGATTATCATGAAAAACTAAGACATCAAGGCCAGGTGTGGTGGTGCACGCCTTTAATCCCAGCACTTGGGAGGCAGAGGCAGGAGGATCTCGGAGTTTGAGGCCAGTCTGGTCTATACAGTAAGTTCCAAGCTAGCCCACAGTGTGTATAGGGTGGTAGTGTCACACTTGTGCTTTCAAAAAGGTTTGCAAGTGTAGAACAATTTCCAGATCAGCCACAAGCAGCAGTACACCCACCTTTGTGAACACTTTCATGGTGTAGCACAAATACTTCACTCTGGGGTCAATGGCTGAGTATGCAGACAAGAGTCTTGTGTTATGAAGAGCCTGTTGAAAAGAAAAGGGCATCATGAGGCTTTGAAAACATTGAGACCTAGAAAAGCTCACAACTGCAACACAGTTTAGAAACTTCTTTCTTTCTTTCTTTCTTTCTTTCTTTCTTTCGTTCTTTCTTTCTTTCTTTCTTTCTTTCTTAGACAAGCTGTGTTAATCAAAGAGATAATGACAAATATATGTAATTCTGATTTCATCAATAAATCTGTAGTCTGAATAAAATGAAAAAAAAAAGCCATTAAAATAAACAAGCATGTTACTAGGTGTGGTGACACAGGCCTGTCATCCTAGCACTTGGGAGATGGAGCCAGTAATAAAATAAGGAGTTTCCTTTAAGATGCCCTCTCCCTGTGGCATCGTTTGAGTAAAACCCTCTCAGGTCCCATTGGGTCTGGAAGCAGCCATATGTGACGCCAAACAGGAGAGCATTCCACAGCAGCTGAGTGGGGCCTGTGACTCAGCTCTGACCAGTGGGACAATGCCTTTGCACTGGGATTTTGTCAACTTGACACAATTGAGAATCATCTAGGAAGAAAGAAGTCAACTGAAAACTGCTTCCATCAGATCGGCCTGTGGACAAGTCTCTGGGACATGTTCTTGCTTGATGGCTGATGGGGGAGGGCCCAGCCCACTATGGTAGGGGGTCCTGGGTTGTATATTAAAACAAACTGAGCAAGCCATAGGGAGCAAGCCAGTAAGCATCACTCCTCCATGGCTTCTGCTCCAGTCCTGCCTCCGGGATCCTGCTTTAAGCTCCTGGCCTGACTTCTCTCGATGATGGACTGTGACCTGTAAGCCAAATAAACCCTTTACTCTCAAAGTAAAAAAAAAAGGAGGGCATAGCACACAAACCAAATTACAGTCAAGTTCAAGTCAGAGAGACAAACCTGCTACTATGACCTTATCTGAAGTGAATCTTCAGTTGGGCTCATGTGTGCATACACACACACTCTCACACTTAAACTGATGAGCGTTTACCAACTCACTGACAACAGAGTGGGGATGGAATGCTAGGCAAACATCCTCCCACTGAGCTGCTCTCTTAGCCCATGTGGATATGAATGGCTACTGAATTCCCCATAGCTCCAGTCTTAAAATACTACAAGGCACATACCAAGCACCCAACTAATTCCCGAAGAGAGAGAAAATGAGGGCTGAGAGGTGCTTCAGCCCCTCGGGACAAAGGCCGAGGAGCCAAAAGGATGGGGTAAGAAGGATGAAATGAATGCCTCATTTCACTTATGTGCTTCTTTTTAAAAAGACATTCATTCCTCTTTAGCTCCCTGAAGATAATGCCTGAAACACCAGGCATGGTAGTATGAGCTTGTAATCTTAGCACTTGTCGGGTGGAGCCAGGAAGACCAGAAGTTCAAGGTCACCATCAGCTGCACAGCAAGTTCATGACTAACCTCAGCACTATGAAACCCTGTCTCAACCCCCACTCCCAGCCCCTGCAAAAACAAAGAGTAGATGGAAGGAAGCAAGCAAACAGAAAGACTTAAAAAAAAAAAGTACTCAAGGAACCAAAATAGGAGGTTCCCACATAACATGGCAAGAGAGAGGACAGACTGGGCTGGGCTAGTCTTTGAGACTCTTAAAAAAAAAAAAAATAAATAAAAGAAAGACAGGCTGGGCAAACCCTAGACATCTTACCAGTGTGTTATACAAGCTGATGTCTACCTCTAGCCCACTTCTTAGGTGGAAGAACTTCACGATGGGCACCTTTGCTGTTGTAATGGGCAGGATGTTCCTCAACCCTAGAGGGAAGCAAGATGCATAATTAAGCACAACAACTGGGCAGAGATGATTCTCATCTAATGTCCAGGATAAACAAAATCTAACTTGAGCTGTCTCATTGTATTCATTACAACTAATCAACAAAGACTGTTAAGTAACTAGAAAATGCCTGGCAAAGTCTGTATCTATTAAGCACACTGATATTTGAATCCCAAGAACCAAAAAATCCACTGTCCTCCACAAACCAACTAGCTCACGAGAAGCTGCAAGTGTGTGTGCCAGACGGGCTGTTTCCAGAGGAACTACTGGAGCTTGCACACAGGAGTTCTACTACCCTTTCCATCTGACTAATGACCCATGAGCCATCATCTCAACGCCTGACACAGCAGTCACCATGGAGCTAAAACAACAAACGGAAAGGGAAGGAATGACTTTCAGTGGGTGAGGAGACTGCCTGAGCCACACTTTGAACATGCTGAAGTAGTGGAGGTGGAAGTCATTTACCTGGCAAGGAAAATGGCACAAAAAGGCTTCAGGGCCCTTCCATGACACTAGGTAGGCTGGAAAATGGACCCAAGGGAAAGGAAAATGTGTTATAAGAAATAGAAAAACTGAGAAAAATCCTTGAGGACAAAGAAACCAATATGCTGGCCTAAGTACTGGAGAATCATGGACCATAGAGTTGAACCATGTTCCTGGCAAACAGTAGCCTGGAGGCACAGGGACAGAGGCAGGGTGACCACTCCTGAAGAACATCTGAGCTTCAAATGTCTTGGTGGCCTGAGAATGTAAAGATGAAGGAATGCATGCCTGAGATTCCCTATATACAAACTCAATTCCTGTGGGCCTACATGTAATGGTGGTATGCAGAGGACTTTCATACTTCATAACCGGACTTTCAACTTCACCTTGCATAAGGGGGAACAGAAACGGAAGGCATCCTAGGGAACTGCACGTGCAAGCGGTAAGCTGCGGAGCAGGGCCGCAGATTGAAGCCAGAACAACTTCAACTTCCCTGGCCTGTACATAGATCAGGCGAGCAGTCGTTTGCCTAAGTTGCTGACTGCACAGACACCAGTGCTGAAGTCTAGAAGGGATTTAGAGTAAGAGCAGGAAGAGGCAGCAGAACAGAAATGTAAAACAAAAAACAGCAACAACAAAAACCCAAAACAACAACAAGCAAATCTGAATTCACAACATAGAACCAGTAGGAAGTCTAGGATCGAGAATCTCCACAATTTGCTACGCCCCTCTTTCTTATTAGGGAATCTGCCATGATTGATCTCTTTTGACACTCACAAACCTGTCCTCGGAAACTTATCCCTTGCATGTCACTCTGGCTCCACTTTTCTACCCACTGTAATTGAGTTTTATGTCAAACTTCAGCTCCTCCCAAATACCAAAGGAGAGAGAGACACAGGCCTTTTAACTTTCCTGCTGTCCTTAGATAACCAACACTTCTAGTTATGTAGCCGGCATTCAACACTATAGCTGGGGAGATTGCCTGCCTTTAAAGGCATCAGCTTGTAAGCAGAGCCCTCTAGGTACCATTAAATTCTCTACAGTCCATTTCTATCATATAATTCTCTATATAAATGACTATACAGAGTAATTTCTGTTCTAAAAACAACCACTGAACAAAGTGGAAGCTTACGACAGGGGCAGTCTATCTCAACCCAAGTGATCCAGGAAAAGACGGAAGGCAGGCAAGCATGGGTGAGTTACAGTAAATGTCAAAGTTCAGCTCAGTCCTAAAAACGAAAAACTGTCAAGTCTAGGAACTTCGCTTTTTTTGTATAATCTGAGAATCCAAACAAAACTTATCTTTAGAGATGACTCTTACGTGAGGAAAATATCTTCTCAATATACAAAGGAAACTGTATCACTGTGTGTGCAGTGCACCCATGAGTGTGTCCACAAGAACAGGAGCCCTGTTGTTCACCTTCATTCTTTACTCTCAGAACACAAGTTTAAGAAATAAATGTTTAAAGAAAGTATTTTGTTAAGTGTGGTGGTCTGCACCTGTGATTTTAGGTAGTCAGGAGGCCGAGGCAAGAGTTGTGAGTTCAAGGCTACATTAGACCCTGTCTCAAAAAAAAAAGAACTCGTCCCAAACAGATAAGAACTTTCAAACATACAAACCCCTCCAAAACCAACCAATTAATCAACTAACCACCCTACCCAGCAAATAGCCAGGCATGATGGTACACATCCATAATCCCAGAAACGAGGTACAGAGGGAGTCTGAGGTCAGCCTGGGTTACATGGTTAAGACAGAGCTAGGGTTGTATTTACGTAGAGTGCCTCTGATGAGCAAGGCCTCAGACTCTACCCCCAGCAACAGACAAGCAGGCAAACAAACATACACTTTCACTATTTTGGTCCACAGCTGCCCCTGAGAGCATTTCAGGTTTGTAGGTCATTTGTAGGACCTACACATTCTATAGCTCTAAATACTTCAGGAACCACCTACAACAGTCTTCTAGATCTGTGATGAGACTGGATCAAGCTAAGTTAAGCATCTTGCTTATGGTTCAGTTTGTTGCGCAGAAAGGATACAAACACAAAAAAAAGGCCTGTGTGCTCTTTACCGTATCATGGGCTTTCAGCAATGTCTACAGCTGGATTCACATTTAAGGCAAAATGACTTCAATCTCTCACCTGCCTTGAATATGATTTGTAACCAAGACAAAATAGCTAACATCAACCACACAGGCATTACTACCAATTTTCTTTCCTTATTAGACTACAGAACATTTTAATGACAACAATATTACATATATTTATAAATGAGAAGGCATACTTCCTCATTGGCATGAATAAATTCTAAGTATATAAAACACTAAAGGAAAAGTAAAAGGTACTTTTGAAACATGAATAGAGGTACCTGAGTGCTTTCTGAGGACTCTTGCCAGCTCCTCAATAGTTCTTACGCAGTCCAACCCCTGCAACAAAGGCACAAAAACAAGAACACTGAAAGCTAAATCAGGAAACAAGCTGGGCCTGCTGGCACATACCTGTAATCTTAGCTACTCAGGAGACTGAGGTAAAACAGTCAACAATTAAAGGGATGTCTGGGTTGCACAGTAAGTTCAAAGCCAGCCTGGGTACCTTAGTGAGACTTGGGGGAGGGGCTGGGGATGGAGCTCAGTGTTAGAGTGCTCGCCTGGTTTGTGTGAGGTTCTAGTCAGACCCGAGGCAAATCAGCAACAAGTAGGAGGCAGGATAGTGAGGTTCATTTCAAACCTTTCTTCTTCTTATTTTTATTTGTGTGCGTGTGACTGAGTGTGGGCATACACAGGTCAGGACATTACATGTGTGAAAGAGAGCATGCGTGGAAGTCAGAAAACAACTTTTCAAGAGTCAGTTTTCTTCTTCCACTGTGGGAATCAGGCACTGAACGAGTCATCAGAGTTGTACTGAAACACGTCCGCCTGCTGAGCTGCCTCCGCAAGCTCAATTCAGATGGTTTTCATGTCCCTTCAGTTGAGTGTCAGTTACTATACATACAAAACACCCTAAAGATATGTAAACCTTCTGGATGTACAACAAAAGCCAAAACCAGAACTTCCAGAAGGTCTTTGAGCCATGAGGACTTTCTCACTTGGAAGAATACCTTAGGTATGGATATGCAAGAGAGCTTCTGTCCTTCCTCACACTTATGCTGGGCAGATTGGCACACAGATTTTTTAAGAACTGATGACTTGCTGTGGAGAGTGACTGAACTCAGGTTACTTCCCTGTGGGACTAGCCAAAATTAAAGTCACACAGTAGTTTGGAATGGTGTTTTGGCCAAGTCATACTTCATGTTTTTGCTGTTTTTCAGACCAAGTCTCTCTGTGCAGCCCAGGCTGAACTCAGATTCAAGGCCCTCTTGCCTGTGTCTCCCAAGTTTTGGGATGCAAGCATATTCCACTGTACTCTGGCACATAAAAACATGTTTGTGATCCCCATCTGCATAAGGCCTTCTGATGGTACAGACCCTACAACATATTCAGAATTTTACTTTAGAAATAACTATCAAAAGTAGTTTATAAAACACATTAATGAAAATCAACATTGAGGAGATATAGGTCATTCCATATGGTAGACCTAATCTCACTCTACACCATTCATCAAATTCCAGGTAGATTATTTTGGATGGTTTTCCTGAAGTCAGAAATGCCCTTGGAATGCAGACTCAGAACAAAGCCACGAAGAGTGAGCTCCTGAGCAGCAGCAGTGCAGGCATCAGACCAACAGCATCTATGCCACCTTCATTCCGAAAAGGGTCCCTTAGTGACAGGTGTGACTTGGTGCAGGGCCCCGCCTGGCAAGCATAAGGCACTTACCAGACTTACTCTGTTATCAGAGAGAGAGAGAGAGAGCAGCCACAAAGAACAAGTCAGGACAGGGTGTGGCACTATTCTAATAAAACTGTGAAAACAGGCAGTTAGCATGGAACGATGGCACAGGCCATAATCCCGATTCAGAGGCTGAGGCTAGAGGGTCAGGAGTTCCAGACTGGCCTGGACTACACAGCAGACCCCCATCTTCAAGAAGAAGGGGAAAAAATCAAAACAACAACAAACGGGGCTCTAAGCTGCTTTTCAGCATATGGGGAGTACTCTGCTATCTCTCCTAATAGACATGATCCAAGCCATCCAAGAGAGAACTTCCCAAAGCAACAGGGGGGAACAGAATTATCTACCAAAATACATGTTTTGGTACTGATAAGACCAAGCTTGTCTTAAATATAGGTCCTGAACTCAAAAGTTAATGCTCACCATATATAAGCAAACTAACATCACAGGTAACTCTGGGAGGGTATCTGTCCTGGTCTAGTGGCTAAGCCAATGGGCACTGGTGAAGGAGGTCTGGATTCAGAGCAATCAGCATAATTTGTACTACAGTGGAAGCCCCTTCAGAGCTACCTAGTCAATGGGCATGCTTTGCCTTTTTTTTAAAGACAAGCTCTTGCTCTACAGCCCAGGCTGACCTTGAACTTCTAGCAATCCTCCTGCCTCAGGCTCCCAGGTGCTGGGATCACAGGTGTGTCCGCCCCATGCCCAGCCAGCACTTGCTACTCTTCACATCCCCTCCAAGCGGGTCAACACAGGTTCGGAGGCTGTGCTTCGTGGTGCACTGCATGTGGAATGCCCCGGTACATTCCAGATGCCTCACAATTCTGCCAGTGAGGACGGCGCTAACCACATGTTCACAGCACATGTGTGTTCACGTGGCAACCGTACCTCAGCAGTCTCATGTCCGTTAATTGTCATACAGACGTCAAGGTCACTCTGTTTGAACCCAAATCCATTTTTGGAGGAGCCAAACAAGCTCAATTTAGTTCCTGTTAGGGACAGATGACAAGTAATAACTCATTACCTGAGTACATTTAATTGTTGTTTTAATGAATCCAAAATACCAATTGCTAACTATCCTATCTCATAATTAAGATCTTTAAATGTTATTACAATGATTTATTTGTTTATTTATTTATGTACTGTGTCTGTGTGCATATGTGAAAGACAGGGGACAATATGCAAGAGCTGTTTTTTCCTTCCACCATGTGGGTCCTGGACTCAGGTCATCAGGCTTGACACCAAGGTCATTTATCTGTTCAGCCATCCTGCCAACCCCAATGTCTTTTTAAATACACATTTATTCTTAATGATTCTCTCAGTTTACTTAAATATACATGCTATATATGACAAGAAAGATTAGTGGATACAACTTTATACCAAAATGCAAGAACGTTGTTCAAGGAAAAAATGTGAACCATTTAATACTGTAAGAGCGATGCTTGTAATGTACTTTAAAAGACTGATTTTTACCTCTGTGTATGTGTCTACATACATTAGTGCATATACCCACAGAGAACAAAGGTGTCAGGTCCCCTGAAGTTGGTCTGTAAGAGCAGCATGTACTCTTACTGGCTAAGTCATTTCTCTAGCTCCTATAAATGTGTGTGACTTACTCTAATTCCAAGTGAATTCACCTCCTGCATGCTGGGTGATCCTACACTGTCATCTTTCTGTTGGTAAAGCAGATGTGGTGGACCAAAGCCCATCCCAGATATATAAACGACCTCAACTCTGATCTACTCACCACAAGGTTTTCCCATCGTTGCTAAAGTTAATGTGCCTGTAATACACATGTTCTTCTATTACCTTTCTTTTCCTAAAGATAAAATTACTTACCTGGAAAGTCCTGTTTTATGAAACTTTCTAGATTTTGCCGGATATGTTCACGAGCCTGATCTTCAGCAAGAGTTGGAGAAAAATCCTCTGTTTAAAAACAAATAGGTACAATGAGTAAGGGAGTGATTTAAAAAAAGAAAAAAAAAAGAGTTGATATTGCTAGAAAACCTGAAAAAATAGTTTTGAGAAAAAAAAAACTTACAAGCTTCAAAAATTAGACTTTTATACTTTCTCAGCAGACAGTGCTAGCAATAAAACAGTCGGACAGCGTCTGTCCAGCTAGGACTGTGGGACAGACATAATGCCAGCAGTGGGAGGTCCACGCCAGCCAGGGACACACAAGGAGACCCTGCCTCAATGAGTCTAGCCCAAGAACTGCTCTGGAGAGGGAAGCAAACTGGGACAGGGGCTCTAAACCTGGGTTGACAGAATCCTCTAGAATTCCAACAGAAATGTCTGTGGGCCGTTTTGTTTTTAAATGGTAGCCCGGTTTTCTTTTTTAATATCTGAAAAAGTTTAACAAAACAAAAATGCCAATGGTAGCTGGGCAATCCTGGATATTTGGGAGGCTAAGGTAGAGGAGGACGGCTTGAATCCAAGAACTCAATAACACAGTGAGACCCTATCAGAGAAGGGGAAGGAGGGATTAAGCTGGGCATGATAGTCAGTGGATGTCCACAACAGGGAAGCAGTCGTTGTGAAAAATAAACAAGAGGACATGAAGTGAAGTAGTGAGATGTGGGGAGTGGATGCAGGAGGAGCTGGGGGAGGGGTGGTGGTGAATATGACCACAACACACTGCATGCAATTCTCAGAGGACTAACTGTAAGGCTGACAGTGATAACTCGAGTGTCAACCCCTGTGGCACACCAGGGGAACACAGAAGACTTACTGTAACACTGGATGCAAACTTGATCTAAGATATTTGAGAACTTGGGTGTCAGTGGTGGCAAAGGTTCCAGTTGGATTCTCTTGAAGTCCTCAGGACAGTCCTTCTTTAGATGACCTTCTCGCTTACACAAGCTGCACACTACTGTGGGAGACTGCAGAGATATGATGAACCAAGATAAAAGTGAATGAGAAATCTTTGCTAAATAAAGGGTCTTAGAAAAAAATAAGTAACTATATTTATTCCCTAATTTACAGCTACTCCAAATGTCCTGAGAGATGGGACATGCTGCTGGTGATGTCAGGAGAAAAGGGATGTGAACTGTCTGTAGCCTATGCATATCCTATTAGTCTCAAGGAGGGACATGGATCAAGTGGTCACACATCAGAACCTGTTCATGGAAATCAGGCTGACTAACAGCTCAGCTGGTAAAGGGCCCCCCAAGCCTGGTGACCTGAGTTCAATTCCTGAGACCCACACAGTGAGAGAACTGACTCCCTCAAGTTGGCCTCAAACTTCCACATACACACAAATGGCACATATGCCTATTCCACACAGGTGATAAATGGATAAATATAACAAAAAAAAAAAACCCAGAAATAATATCCATTAGAATGCTCTAGCGTCTCCCAGATCTGAGACCATCAGCATTTACCTTGCCTTTGGTGAAGGTCAGTTTTCTAAATTCATAGAAGAAGTCCGACTGGTCCCTGGGTGAATTTTCCTCGGGAAAGCTTTTTTCATTAAGACTTATTCTATTTAGGTCTATGAGCAGAGTCCCACCCATGTGTTCTCCAGACTCTTCTAGATCTTCACCCTTAGCAGGCTCAGCTAAGTCATCCTCTTCAGAGAGGGCATCCTCCCCACCTGATCCAATGTGTCTGTTATCCCCCTGATGTTCACTAACAAGCTCCTCCTCATCTTCTGTGTGGTTCATACTGAGCCTGGGCTCCTCATCCTCATCCTCATCCTCATCAAAGTGCATGACGGCTGATGCCTGGCCCGGGACTAGAGGGGAGAAGCTGTTCAGAGATCCTTCTGTGTTTTCTTCATTTACATCAGCCTTGTCATCCGAGGAGGCCCAGCTGCCACACTCCTCAGTGCCAGGACTCCGGAGCCCTACCAACTCCAGAGTGTTGTCTGCTTGGAGACCACAAAAGCTGCCACAGTTCTTAGGTTCTGGATGCTTGCTGCTGCTTAAATCTTGATCATCAGAGCTCAAAAGATGCGTGGCCTTCCTTCTGACTTCCTCGTTGTCACTTCCTGTTTCTTGATGCTGTGCTGTGGCATCCTCACAACCCTCACAACTGACCTCTGCTTGGACATAGCCAGAGCTTTCCTGGTGTATTTGAATGTGCACACTTCCTACTTCCTCCTTTGGTGGGCTTCCCAGCTGTTCAGTGGTATCTTTAAGAGTAAGCGGTTGTGCCTTGCAGGAACCTGAGGTGGGAACACCAGGACCTTGAGTCATAGGTGCTTTTCCCAGTTTATCAGTATCTGTCTCTTGGAGCTTTGGGCCACAACTTCTTGCTTCTTTATATGGGTCTGAAACATGGGTAATGGGGCCAGGAGGCTTTGTGAGGTTGGGTTTTGTAACTCTGTGTGGAAGAGCGAAGTATTTGTATGTTGTCCTCAAACAATGAAGTATATACTCAAACACAGGTTGGTTATTCAAGGTCCTTGCCACATTTCTTTTAACAGAATAGGGGTCTGTAACAAAAAAAGAGAGGAAAAAAAGAGAGCGCCACCACTTTGTACACTTCTATTTCATCATGCTTAAAACTAGACTTTCAAAGATAAAGCAGGTAACAAACAATAGTAAACTGGATCATGCATCTTACATGCTTTAGATACACTTAAAACAACTCGGTGGGAGTGAGGGCAGCAGTTTACGAGCTGAAAGCAATGCTCCTGAGTCTCCTGCTCTCCACAGAGAACCCATGGGAACTGAGACCCCTTCCCTAGTTGCTCAGTGACTGGAGGTAGGAAAGATATCATCAGTGTGGCTCTTGAGCCCTGGGGAACTGAAGACTTTCCGACAGGCTTTGTGGCTGAGTCCTCTGCACCCTACTCAGCCAGCCTTGCGGTGTGTCAAGCTTACCTCCACTCTTCCGCCCTGGGAGGCCCCATCACTGAAGTGGCTGGCCTGAGTTTCAGGGGCGAGAGGGAGGCACCAGGAGGAGACACCACTTCTCTCAATCTTTTCTCCTCCCCTAGAACTCCAGCAGGTTAGGCAATTGGCCAGAAGAGCTGAGCCAGAGAAACTGCAGGGGAGGGTTTAAAATGTGAGATTCCCCAAGACTGCACATAGAATTTATGCAAAAAGAAAAAGATATCTTATGCAACATAAAGCTTGAAAAAAAAAATCAAGCAAAACTGAGATTTCCATGTAGGAGTTTTGCTGTTGTTCTTAAGTTAAAGGAGGAGAGCTAAGATTTCTAGAAGGTTCCAACCTCCTGACTTTGCAAAGCTGAGAGGAGTTTATCCATTCAGTGACACTAACAGGCCATCACTATCTGACAGCTGACTCTGCATGAGGAAGTTACTGCTTTCTGCTTTAAAAATAACTCTCTGTTCCCTCTACTGGAGTCATTCAACCTTAAGAACAGCATTTTTTACAAGAAAAATATTTCACTCATCTTTGTAAAACTAAACCTCCTCAACAGGAATTCCTAAGAGGGTAGAATTTGAAAACACAAAAGTGAGGACAGTAAGAAGAAGGCTAAGAACCTACAGACTGCAGGGAAACTTCGAAAGCACTAAGTTTCTAAGCACCTCACAAAGCAGGGACTCAGGTACCTTTAACCAGTCACTTGATAATTAAGACACTGTACCTTAGGGTAAGCCCTTGGTCCCTTACAACCCAAGGCACTGCATGCAGGAGTCTAGTGTTTATTTTACCTTCAGACCAGGCCTACCTCTGGGAGGAACTGTAAAGAGAAATGTGATAAAAATGGGCTGTTAGATTGGTACCATATAAAAAGTAATTGAACATTATTACCTTCAATAGCGATGCGCTTTTTGGGCCAGTCCTTGGATTCCCGGGATATCAATTCTTTGACACGAATACTGATCACTAAATCAGCCAGATTAAACTCTAAAGCATAGAACCGTAGCAATTCCACCCAGAGTTGCCCAACTGGCACTGAAGGCTGGTGTTTTATATTAAATGTCAATGGAACCTATGAATGACAAGGGGCACAGAGGTTAATTCAGATGCCAGCTCAGCCTGAGAAGTAAGAGATTTCTCAAACCTAAGTGAAAAATCTGAAGACTTCAGAAAACCATGAGCTGGACAATCCATCTAGACACTCTAATCATAGGTTCTATTTGGTCAGTGGTAAGCAGCACTGCACCCTGGGATTCGAGCATGTTAACACTCAGCCATTGTCTCAGGAATTTCACCACAGGAGCAGACAGCACAGCTAATTGTGAAGTCTCAGCAGTAGGTGGAGAGGCCCCTGTGGAAGGCTGCTGGTGTGCTCAGGAAAGGCCTGGTGCTGCTGCTGCTGCTGCTGCTGCTGCTGGCAAGCACCTGTGCAGGTGTGGGGACCCAGAGCTGCTCCTGCTGAGGCAGGGAGGAGGAAGAAACTCACTGTCACTGCCCGGACACACTGTATCTGCCAAGTGGCACTGAGTCTTAAAGTCAGATAATACTTAGTATCAGAAACTGACACTAGTTTGTCAATCACAGACTTTTTTTTTTTGACAAGTTCAAACAACATATGTGACATAATGAAAAGTACATAGGACTTAAGATAGAAAGGAACAGGGGAACAGTCCCATCATGACTCTGCCAGCCCATAGCTTTAGCTACTCTGCAACTTAGTTTCTCCACTCTGTGACTGTTAGCACAGGCAGGACAATGGCCAAGAGAACTGGCTGTGTGACAAGCCACACTGTTTAAAATCCACACTCTGCCAGGTACTAGTTATGATGACCTTGGTCAAGGTCTATAACCTGTCTAAGACTTGAATTCCTCATCTGGAAAATGGGGATAACAGTACCCACCTCATAGGGTTGTTGGGAGGACTGAGGGAGATAGTGTCTGTAAAGTGCTTAGCACAGTGCCTGGCAGACAGTGTTCAAAAAATGGTCGCTATCATTACTGCAGAGTAGGGATGATACACCTATAACACAGGACAGTGATGAGGATTAAATCAGAAGCACGGGAAAGCAGCTGGCAGATGTGGTTGCTCTCTGCACTTTTCTCAGGCACTATCTTTTGAAGAAATGCAAACATCACTGAAACACAACATCACACTGTAAGATGCTCTTTAGAGGTAATTCAGTTCAACTCCCATGTGCTACAAGAAGGAACTGAAAGCCTGAGCACTTTCATGATTCCTCGGTGACACTGCTTAGCAGGAAGAATCAGGAGAGGTTAAGCAAACCACCACTCTCAAGTTAAGTATGTTCTAGAGGTTGCTTAACCTCTCCAAATAACAATTTTAAAATAAAGCATTAAATGGACACATAACAATGACTTTTTCTTCACATTTTTTCTCTAATACATGAATAAAACATTTTTCATCTGAAGTATATAAATTTGTCTACAATCAAACTTCTAATACCACACTTTAAAATAAGTGGTGTGATATTTCATTAACTAGTAAATCTCAGGCACATGGATTCTGCCAATCATGAAAGTCACCTGGGAGGACTACAAGGCAGTGCTGAGACTCCTCACTGGAACAGACATGGTCTAAGTCCCACACATCGGAGTTGAGGACACAGAAAGCCTGAGAGCCTTGTTGAATTTCACCTCTTTATCTACTTTGTAGTCTGAGGAAGGACTTTTAAGTCTCTTACTTAATGCCTTCAAAGCTTCATAGCAAGGAACTTCAGGAGACTATCTACACCACTGGTTTTATCCTTTCTTCCCAAAGTAGAGCATACTCTTTTCCAAAGAAGAATAGCAGCTAGTGTTGACCGAGTGCTCACCACATGCCTGACACTGAGTTAAACTCTCTAGGAAACAATGAATGCTAGGAGAGGGCATCAAGATTATTTGTGGGGAGGAAGCCAGGGCACAGGAAGATTAAGTCCTTAGGCAGCTAAGGACACACAGCTAGAAAGTCAGAGCTGAGACACAAATTCACGTACGCCATCTCAAAAGCCTAGGATGCTTCCCACAACCCAAACCAAAACACAGGAAACAGAATGGTGCTGTCTAGGGACAGCAGGGTCAGGGGCATCTCCACTACTCTCCCAGTTCTAGGAAACTGGAGTCTATAGTTCATCACTGGTCCATTTTGAAACATGCATAAACCATGGGCTAGAGGAGTAACATGACTTGTTAGTGTATACTGGGCTTAGAACCATGAACCCTGTTTCAGAAGTATTTTATGGCTAGTACAGTTATCTTACATCAAAGGTTCTACTCAGTATCTTTAAAAGGCCTCTGCACATAGAAGAAGCCATATAAATAAATGGATTAGTGACGTCAATTTTTCAACCTTTCTCATTACTTGTTTATTCAAGAGGCTAAATAGACAAGGAAATGAAACAGTCATGAGCTAGTACATAAGTATGTGAGCTCTTTAAGAAATAAACTGGAAGCCGGGCGGTGGTGACACACACCTTTAATCCCAGCACTCGGGAGGCAGAGCCAGGGGGATCTCTATGAGTTCAAGGTCAGCCTGGTCTACAGAGCGAGATCCAGGACAACCAGGGCTACATAGAGAAACCCTGTCTCAAAAAAGCAAACATAAATAAACAAATAAATAAAAACAAACAAACCGGGACAACCATATGACCCAGTCCTACACTCAAAAGTTAGCTTACTATGGAGAAGCCTACACACCCATGTTACGAATGCGTTACTCACATCAGTCACGCTTTGAAGTCAGCCTAGGTACTCATAAATGGATGAAAAAAAAATAGGCCTCTCTAAATAAAATGAAATTTTATTTGTCCATAAAAAGGGAAATTATGTTGCTGGCATGAGAATGTATGGAACTAGAGATTATCACATTAAAATAAGCCAGTCTCACAAATACGAGCATCCCACACTTTGTCTCCTATGCAGAACCGAAGAGCACCATAAGGTAGGACAGTAGAAAAGGGTCTGTTAGGACACAGACAAGGAGAAGTGGTAGGGGCAGGTAGACCAAGAAAGGCTAACAGGAATGAACAGGATCAAAACATATCACAATCATGCAGAGAAATGCTGTATGTAATGCGACCCACTCCTTTGTACAATTAACTTAAACTACATCTCAAAAACAGTTAAGATAAAGCCATGTATGGCAGGCAGCTCATGTCCATAATCCCAGGACTTTGAGAGGTTGAGGCTGGAAGACTGCCATGAATTCCAGACTACTCTGGGCTACATATTAAGTCCCAGGGTCAGCCTAGGAAACAGGCTTAAGTCCCTGTTTCCAAAACCCAAGCAGTGTAAACAAAAAGGGTAGTGAAAACAAAGATGACAGGGAGACAGGTTGGTGCATAAACACAACGAAGACCAGGGGAGAATCAATGGTATGACTAGAAAGGAGAGAACAGACCTGCCCCTTCTTGGCTGGAGTCTCTCTGGGTGCCTCCTCTTTTGCAGTGCTGGCGCCCCCTGTGGTGTCGTCAGTGTACTCCCAGACCACAGAGTCCTTCTCAATGTCTTTAAGGCTGAAATTCCCTAATTTGTTTAATGAGAATTCTTCAATCTAGAAAAAATAATCAGACATATCTTACTATATAGTATGAAAAATTCTGTGACAGGGAGTACTAAAATGTTCATAGGAATACAAACTTAACACACACTATAGCTCATCAAAGACATGCAATAGGAGACGGCACGATGGTTCAATGGGTAAAGGCCTGATGACCTGAGTTCAGTCCCAAGGTGGAACGAAGTAGGGGATCCTTCAAAGTTGTTTTCTGACTTCCACACACAATAATGAATCAAAGTACAAAATTATAAAATACAAAACAGCTCACCAACTACCTTTGAGATCTGGTAATTTAAGTACCTTTTCGGGGTAAAGAGTAAGGTTTTGATTTGCAAAAAAGCCATGGTGACTTTGCAAAGTAAGTTTTCAGTATCCTGGGGCACAGCATGGTTCTAGAGTATTTGCTTGCCTGGCATGCCTGAGACCTGTCACAAAACTGGAAACAAAACAAAACAAAATAAAACCCTAAGAAAAAAACAAAATAGCCTAAGAAGTATCTGAAGTTGTTGGTTCTAGAGTAGAATTCATTGGTACTTAAGCCTTAGCTTCCTCTAGCTATGTGTCCCTAGAGTCTGAGGCATCTCTCTAGGCCTCAGCATTCTGAGAAGTGGAGCCCCACTATGGGAGTATACTGGTGCTATAATTTATCTGCTCATGCATGACACATAGTGTTTAAAAATTTTCAAAGGGCCGAGCGGTGGTGGCGCACGCCTTTAATCCCAGCACTTGGGAGGCAGAGGCAGGCGGATCTTTGTGAGTTCGAGGCCAGCCTGGTCTACAGAGCGAGATCCGGGAAAGGCGCAAAGCTGCACAGAGAAACCCTGTCTCGAAAAACCTAAAAAAAGAAAAAAAAATTTTTTTTCAAAGGATGCCAGGAATTGCTCCTATCAGCATTTTGAAGATATGGAACTACCGTCTAGATCCTACTCCTAACAGAACAGCTTGGGGGAGGTGGACACACTTGGAGTCAAGCTTCTCAGGAGGAAGCAGGAGTTCAAGGAGAATCTGGCCAACTTGGCAAGACTGTTTCAAAGTAAAACAGGGCTGGAGAGATGGCTCAGTGTATAAGAGCACTAGCTTCTCTTCCAGAGGACACAGGTTTGATTCCGAGCACCCACATGATAGCTCACAACTGCCTGTAACTATAGATCCAGAGGATCTGATGCCTCTGTAGGCACCTGCACTCATACATGCACGCAGGCACACATGCGCGTACACAGCAGAGGTTAAGAGGTAGCTAACAATGAAGCTCTGTGGTAGAGCATTTGTGATGGTAGCATGTTTGGGACCCTTAGTTTAATTCCCAGAATCACTACCCCCCCCAAACATTAGATATCATGAATTCTTATTAAGTCCAAAAGTATCTGTGTATATTTTTTTCATTAATAATGAAAATGTCTGTGCATTGTAGAAGAAAAGGTTTGAAGTGCTAAGCTCTGAGAGGCACTATGGAGTGCTGGACAGTTCTCTTCTTACACAATGGGGCTCATGAGTCATAATGCCTGGGCTACTTTCCCTATCGCTGAAAGAAGCAACATGAGGGACAACATGTTTATTTTAGCTCATAGTCCATCATGGCAGGGAAGTGAAGGTAGTCTTCTCCTTTAACCCGTATCAACCTGATGAAAGAAGCTTGTCTTCCAGGTGATTGCAGATTCTGTCAAGTTGACAACACAACCATCACATGCAATTCAACAAGTTAATGAATACACCAAACTGTGGAATGGGTTCCTGAACATCCATCTACTGGCACTGGTTGTCAATCAATGGCTTAGCTGACAGCACTCCTACTGAAGTGGAAGAGCTTGTGGCTCTCCCGACTTCCTGCTGTCCTATTTCACAAGAAGTCAGTCTTTTCCCAGCCTTCCTACACCTGCTAATCCCAGGGCCACAGACTCCACTCCTCTTTTCTAATGTTTCCCTTGTCACTCTTCTCCTTTTCTCAAACACACCACCGCCTGGTGTTCATGTACTAGCGCATGAGGAAGACCTCACCCTGGTCGGTATACACACTCATGACATGACTGTTTGCTCTGGTGTTCTACCACAGCACCCAGAATGCCTGGAGAGGACAGTGCTCTGTAACAACTCTCCCAAAGACACTCTGGAGGTCAGGGAGTGTCCTGTCTCTTCCTTAGATGCATGCATTCAGTGTTCTTCAAGTCAGTGCTGTATTTGATTTTTCTTCTTTTGTGTAGGACCAGGTAAGGGCTCTACCACAGAGCCTATCCTGTCCTTAACTGTTGTGGATATCACTCTGTATAAATAAAATGCTGATTGGCCAGTGGCCAGGCAGGAAGTATAGGCAGGACAGGCAGAGAAGAGAATTCTGGGAAGTGGAAGGCTGAGGCGGAGAGACTGCCAGCCGCCTCCATGACAAGCAGCATGTGAAGATGCCGGTAAGCCACGAGCCATGTGGCAAGGTATAGATTTATAAAAATGGGTTAATTTAAGATATAAGAACAGTTAGCAAGTAGCCATGGCCATACAGTTTTGTAAGCAATATAAGTCTCTATGTTTACTTGGTTGGGTCTGAGCGGCTGTGGGACTGGCAGGTGACAGAGATTTGTCCTGACTGTGGGCCAGGCAGAAAAACTCTAGCTACAAATGGCGCCCAATGGCTCCAGTTTCCACCTTAAACCTGATAATATTTAATAAGCAATTCTAAACAGAGCCAAAACCAGATTCCTGTTTCACGTCTCATACGGGCAGCTAGACGCTGCAACACGCGGGTTTGAGCTACTGGCGAGTTCCTGGCGTTTGCGCTCGACCTGCAGTATGGGGGGAATGAGGCCTCTGCAAGTGGCACATTAAGCTGTGTGGTGGATTTAGCCTTTGCTAGTACAAAACAAAAAAAGAGGTTTCTGGGCTACACACTGCTTTGATAGAAGCATAGACCCACTATTTCTGAGAGTTGATGGCTCCCAGAACTGGCGGAAAATGTACCACCGCCATGTTGGGAAGCTAAAGTGGGCAGAGCCAGCAGCCACAGTGCCGTTTCAGTCTTAGAATGCTGCAGTTTAAAGCAATAGGCTCAAGGTAATATAAAAAAAAGCCACATAAAGATGGCTATCATACAGAAAATCTGGATTATGTTCTTTGATATTCGTAACTGAAGAAAAACATTTGATCGCAAAAGCTGTTGAGTTAAACCAATATGGATATTTTAAAGGTACCTTGACTTCAAAATTTGGATGTAAGGATATGTTGCTTTGGAAAGGAGGCTCTGCTTTTGTTTCCACAGAAAGCCAGAGGCTATGGATTTGTTCCAGATTAAGACACATCAGGTTTGACCAGCCAAGACTACCTGAAAGGTCTCCAATGACACCATGGCCCAGATGATCCAACATCCAGAACTGTTTCAAGGCGACTGGCTTAGATGATACACCCTCACAGACTACTCCATAATCCTAAAATTTTCTGTGTGTCCCCATAAGATACAGCGCCCCCCTCCAGCAGGAAGTAGTAAGAGAAGTTACGCCCAAATTCTGGCCTTGGAGATGTGTAAAACTTAAAATCTTCCTTTGAAAAAAAGGGGGGGGGGGAGTGCTGTGGATATCACTCTGTATAAATAAAATGCTGATTGGCCAGTGGCCAGGCAGGAAGTATAGGCGGGACTAACAGAGAGGACAATTGAGAGAACAGGAAGGTGGGAGGAGACACTGCCAGCCGCTGCCATGACAAGCAGCATGTGAAGACGCCAGTAAGCCACGAGCCACGTGGCAAGGTATAGATTTATAAAAATGGATTAATTTAAGATATAAGAACAGTTAGCAAGAAGCCTGCCACAGCCATACAGTTTGTAAGCAATTTAAGTCTCTGTGTTTACTTGGTTGGGTCTGAGCGGCTGTGGGACTGGCGGGTGACAGAGATTTATTTGTCCTGACTGTGGGCCAGGCAAAAAAACTCTAGCTACACTTAACAATGTTTTTTGAACAGCAAAATTTTTAGAAGTTAAAAAGTTTATTAATTTTTAAACTTGATATAGATTACAGTTTTAGTTTTCTAAGAAACTCTTGCTATGAAGACTTCACTTCTGAGAATTCCAGTTTTGACTTTCATGTGTAGATCTCTGACCCACTGGGGAGTATAAAGGTTTAATATTTGCCTTTTCCCCATGGATATTCAGTTTTTCTTAGCATTTCTTAAAAAAACTTTTTCCTCAAAAATTTGCTTAGACACCTTCAACAAAACCAAGTGATCACCACATGACAACATTGAGTCCACAAAGACACGGTATACCTCATTTACCTATGTTTTATTTTGTGTGTGTACATGTGTGACTGGATTATGAAACAAGGTCTCCCTGTGTAGCCTGTACTCAATATGTAGCCCAGGCCATCCTCAAACTTGTAATCTTCCTGCCTGAATCTCCCAAGCAGCAGGTTTGTAGGTCTGTGCCAATGCACCTTGCTGCATATGTCTAAGAGTTCCTCAGCCATACACTCTAATATCCAATTGGGAATTGTGCATATCTTCTGTTACACTTATTCTCTGGCATCACTATTAATGAAACTTTTGTTGTTGTTTTGAGACATGGTCTTGCTAATGTCACCAAATGGCCTTAAACTCATGATCTTGCTGCCTCAGACTGAGTGTTTGAATTACAGGTATACTGCACAAAAGGCTCAATGGAATTTTTTAAACCTAATTTTCCAATTGTGTGACACTAGCATATAAAAATATAACCAAATTTTGTATGTTAACTTTGTATCCTATGGTCTTATTAATTCTAGGAGGTGTTTTTTTGTTTTTTTTTCTTTCTATTTAAAAAACCATGTCACTTGCACACAAAGGTTTGCTTCTTCACCTCTTTTCTGACTGCAATGACCAGGGCTTTCTGAAAAGGCTGAGTCTCAGGTTGTAGGTTGGTGGACACCCTCTGCTTCTACTGGCAGAGTAAAGCCACCCAATATCCCACTACTAAGCATGAGGCTTCTGTGATAGCAGGGGTGCCTGGCCAACTGGCCAATGCCTTGTGTGGGGCTCAAGCC